AAGATCCAGCTCCGACCGTAATAGGCAGTTACATTCTAGTATTAATTGAATTTCTCAAATATACGGTCAAAAAATATAAATATATTGTCTATATTATAACTCTTTTTTAACTTATTTACTTAAATATCTTATATTTGATTGCAATTCTTTGTAGTTCCAGACATGAAGATAGTTGTAAATACGTATTCTTGTCCCATCTCGTCATCCTACAGGCCGTCTAATTTATGGTCATGTAATTATCAAAGCTACTTAACTGCGACTTTTCTGATATCTGTTTATAAAATATTTATATTTAAAGTTATATATATCATGCATATAATATATGTTTGTAATCGTTTAATTCAATTTGGAAGTTGTATACTATTTATAAGGATCAAGCAATATTTTGTGATGAAAAGTTGTTTCTATTTAAAGATGCAATATCTCTGCCTTTGTATTACTTCAAATTAAATTAGTATTAAAATATAATTACAAATTGTAATGTACGTATTGTAAATTATATATACGTTTCACTTATAAAAAATATTTTATGATATATTAGTATAATTTGTTCAATGTAGAAACAAATGGATTTACTGTTATCTAATTGCTTGGAAAATACAAAGAAGATGCAACCTCAACACAATGATTACTCTCTACTGAAATTTTTCAAAACATTTTATTTCGTATAATATGGTATATCACTTCTATAAAAAATGAAGAGAGATTAAAAGAAATGTGTTAAAAGGTTGATATTTAGCAGGGCTTTATTTAAGTGAAAACACATTTGTAAGAAACGCTAACAAAAAGAACTGTTTATTAATGACACCTCGTATACAGCGCGTGTGTGCACTTATATATAACATAAAAAGAAGACGGACGTGTCACGCAGCGCCCAAACGACAAACAGACAAAGCGGGCTCAGGTCTGCCAATTAAAAGTATTTACTAAGGAAAACTACACTAGCCTATAATTAAATTGAACAGACAGAGGGAGATACTAATTTAAATCTTTAACAAAATGAAATGTATATTATCATGGCTTCCGATAAATGTATTGCCGATAAAAAAATCGGATATTTTATTGATGAACATCGATGAATGCCTATTTGAGAAGCTTTATTGCAACGATTCGTGCCGCAATTACTTGAACACCAGCGCCGTTCCATATGTCGTCTATATTAATACCAGCTCGTTTGTTGGTGTTAGGGCGGTCGCCGATCCACAATGCATTTGTCATGTAGCGAAATCTATTGTTTGTTTAAACGGTGGTACTTCTATGGCAGAATGTTGCGAGTGTCCCCCTGGTCTGGAAGGGCCGAGGTATGAACTCTTGGGTATTGACTTTCATGGAGACGGTTGAGCTATAATGTCATCGCCTGATCAAGCTTGCGACGACTCACATCTAGGTAGGTGCCATAAGTGATGAACGAAAAAAATTCCAAAATCAACTGGAATTTGAATTTGAAATCCTTTACTTTCTCGACTAGCACTTACAAGTGCATCCCCCATTACTATTTCACTGCTTCTGTAATTACTCCGTGTTCTTATACCGATATTTAATCGAACTTTTAAAGCTTTATGTTTCATATAATACATTTTCATGTGATTACATTATTTCCGTTTTACATGTTTACATTCACATCTGTTTGTTTATTGTAGGATTGGAGATAACGCCACACGTGGACAATGGTCTTGTATTTTATTGTGGCAATGATTTAATAATAATGTCCCTCGCGAATTTACATTGGTATAATATAGTATAATACTATGTAGTTAATAGTAGGAACGCTCCTGAGATGAAGCGTTGTTTACAAGCATCCGACGATTCATTGTTAGGCAATGCGCGGCAAGAGAGGAACAGTGGGCGTTGCCAACAAAATCTGTACAAATGGTTAGGAAATTTGTACAAATGATACATATCAGTAGTTCTACTAAACAGCAAACATGATTAGTTATCAGTTTCACGGCCCATTAAGTAATTGGAGTTGGTGAAACTGGCCCAAATGGTGATTCTTTACGAGGAGCACCATTTGGGCCATTTTCACCAACGCTTAGTGCTTTTTTTAAAAAGGTAAGTTTGTATATAATTTTAAAATTCCATAGAGAATATCTTTTATACACATGATACATATCATTAATTTATATTACCGTATAAATCGTAAAAAGTCGTCGATGCACCACAGCACAATCATCACCAATGTCATTGCTAAAGCCCGGATGTTCGCGCGCGAACCGGGATTGCGCCCGAACATCCGGGCCCTAGTCATTACGATCAATTTGTTTCGGATTAATAAGAAATTCTCTAATCTTTCTCCTTTTCGTTGCCTGTAAATTTAAGACAACAATGATCACCATGATAAGAATAAGAAATTATACCAGAAATCAATTAAGGAAGAATTACCAATGGGAGTCAACACAAAATGTTTTTTGCGAAATAATAACTGTCATATATTATAAATCACAAGTATAAATTACAGACGTTTCGACATCATTATTGTGTTTGCTTCAAATGTATAAACCATATTCTAGATATAGTTGAAACAACCTTACTTTGCGTGGACGTAGCTCGCCGGTCACGGGCTGCGGCCAGGGAAGACATAATACTGATGTCGAAACGTCTGTAATTTATGCTCATGATTTATAATATATGACAGTTATTTCACAAAGGAGCATCTTGTGTTGGCTCACATTGACAATTTTTCCTTAACTTATTTTTTAAATATTGAAAGAAGCCTTTGATTTATTATTACCGTATAAATCATAATAAAAGGTCGTCGATGCACCACAGCATAATCATCACCAATGTCATTGCGATCAATTTGTTTCGGATTAATATAAAATTTTCTAACTAATTAACCACCATCCTTCTCCTTCCTCTTCGTTGCCTGTAAATTTAAAACAACAATGTTCACCATGATAAGATTTAAGACAACAATGTTCACCATGATAAGAAACTATAACAGAAATCAATTATGGAAGAATTACCAATGTGAGCCAACACAAAATGTTTTTTGGGAAATAATAACTGTCATATATTATAAATCATAAGCATAAATTACAGACGTTTCAACATCATTATTGTGTTTGCTTCAAATGTATAAACCATAATCTAGATATAGTAAGCAACTTTACTTTATTTCATTGGGACGCTTACTACATCTAGAATATGTTATTTCTACATTTAAAGAAGACACAATAATGATGTCGAAACGTCTGTAATTTATGCTCATGATTTATAATATATGATAGTTATTTCACAAAGGAATACCTTGTGTTGGTTCACAATGACAATTTTTCCTTAACTTATTTGTTAAATATTGAAAGAGAAGCATTGATTTATTATTACCGTATAAATCACAAAAGGTCGTCGATGCACAAATCCACAGCACAATCATCACCAATGTCATTGCGATCAACTTGTTTCGGATTAATTATAAATTCTCTAACTAACCACCTTCTTTCTCCTTCCTTTTCGTTGCCTGTAAATTTAAGACAACAATGTTCACCATGATAACAGAAATCAATTAAGAGAGAATTACCAATGTGAGCCAACACAAAATGTTTTTTGCAAAATGTCATATATTATAAATCATAAGTATATATTACAGACGTTTCGACATCATTATTGTGTTTGCTTCAAATGTATAAACCATATTCTAGATATAGTAAGCAACTTTATTTTATTTCATTGGGACGCTTACTATATCTAGAATATGTTATTTCTACATTTAATAATGCTGTCGAAACGTTTGTAATTTATGCTCATGATTTATAA